TGATGCTGAAATATTTGCAAAACTCAGAGTCCAGATGAATTCTGCTAATGACACTGTTGGGATAAAATCTAGCGAAAAGAAAAGCCAAGCCAAAGGCTTCGGTGGTGTAGTGGGTAACATGTGTGCCCCACAAAGTGTAATCGCGATTCATATCCGGTCTGCGGTCTGAGTTCTGCAAACATCTCAGCGCCGTTGTGGGTGTATTTCACATAATACACCGCCATGAAAGAATAAATGGAAGTAAATAACAAGTTGTACAATTTGACGGACTTCCATTTATCATTATCATTTTCACCGACATTATCATTACCGTCATCATTGTTATTATCACCATTATTAATAATACTTTTACTAATATGAATGTGCCTTCTTCTTGTTCAGCAATCGCGAGGTTTTTAAACAGCATACATTTACTTCCATAGAGAAACACAATGCAATACAACGCTAGCTGACGTTTCGCCAGTATCGCCTTCTTCACGGCCTGGAAGGGCATACTGATATACAATCTACTAGGCCAAACGCTTCAATAACACTTACACAAAGACGAAAAACTCTATGGTAATTACATGATCAACAGCTTCTCGAAAAACTCACCGCTTTCTACGTGACTTCCAGTGAGGAAGTTTAGAACAGCTGATTATAGTCGCATGTGGTTGTTGACCGCACCATCCAGCATCAAAAATTGATGCGAACGTACGGGATCAGGTCGCGTATGACCTCCGGGCATTAATCCCTGCTATTCATTGTAGGGTTTTTGGCATTAATCCAAAAAGCCTCATGTTCCTAGAACGTCTACGTAACGCGTCTCCCAATAACGCGTACGTGATGGAGTCTTTCGACGTTACCGCACTGTACACCGACGTATCGAATGACTCCGCAATGCAAGCCATCTTCGAACTTCTTGTTGAACATGAAGGAAGAATAAATATGCATGGCTTATCCATCCAGCAGCTAATGGCTCCCTTAAAGGAGTGCCTAAACTGGTCGATTTTCAGATGGTGTGGGAAATATTTCGCGCAAATAAGGGGGTTGGCAATGGGACAGCGATTGGCACCAAGCCTTACCATTGTGTATGTGTCTAAGATAGAAGCCCCTATTCTCGATCTCCGGCCACTACTCTACTGCAGATATGTAGATGATTGTTTTGTCGTCTTCTCTACGCAGGAGGAGATGGACAAATGCTTTGAATTATTGAACGAGCAGTCCGAGTACATAAAGTTCACCCGGGAGGAACCGAGAAAAAACTGGCTTTCGTTTCTCGACGTTCAAATAAACCTATCAAGTAGCGGTTACCTGACAAAGTGGTATCGAAAGCCAAGTAACAAGAACATCCTTGTTCATTTCCTTTCTTCCCACCCTTCACACACAAAGAGGGCGATTGTGAGAAACATGTTTCGAACAGCCACCTCTGTGTGCACTACCAGGGAACTAAAGGAAGAATCGCGCGACTTGGCCCGGCAAATAGCCACCTCCAATGGCTACGAATTAGTGACCCCACGAGATAAGTTTACAAGGAGAACGACGCACCCACGCGAAACACTTGGCCAAAACAAAATCCCGTTTATGTTGCCTTTTATAAGCGATGAAGTAAGCGTAGCTATAAAACGATGCTTAAGAAGGGCAAGTCTAGAGGAATCGGTAGCGATAGTTGAAATACCACCGGCTACTCTACGTCGCCAATTAGTTCGTAACCGTCTGTATGACCGTCTGTGTGAAACAACANAAATAGCCACCTCCAATGGCTACGAATTAGTGACCCCACGAGATAAGTTTACAAGGAGAACGACGCACCCACGCGAAACACTTGGCCAAAACAAAATCCCGTTTATGTTGCCTTTTATAAGCGATGAAGTAAGCGTAGCTATAAAACGATGCTTAAGAAGGGCAAGTCTAGAGGAATCGGTAGCGATAGTTGAAATACCACCGGCTACTCTACGTCGCCAATTAGTTCGTAACCGTCTGTATGACCGTCTGTGTGAAACAACAAATTGCGTAATTTGCCCTTACGGCAGGGACGATGATTGCATGAGTTCAGGTACGATATATCTGATCTCGTGTAACAATTGCGGAGATGAATATATTAGCGAGACGGGCAGACCTTTGTGTATCCGTATAATAGAACACCTAGATGGCAAACGAAAACTAAGACGAAGCACCCCACTGGGCACGCATAGGATACAAAAGAATAGCGGAGACGATTTTGAAGTAAAAGTTAATATCCTTGCACAGGAGTCCAAAACACCAGCGCGAAAACTCCTAGAGGCTTTTTGGATCAATGCCAAAAACCCTACAATGAATAGCAGGGACGAATGCCCGGAGGTCATACGCGACCTGATCCCGTACGTTCGCATCGATTTATGATGTGGATGGTGCCGTCGTCAACCATATGCGACTATAATCAGCTGTTCTAAACTTCCTCATTGGAAGTCACGAAAAAAGCGGCTCTGAAGAAGGCGATACTGCCGAAACGTCAGCTAGCGTTGTATTGTATTGTGTTTCTCTATGGAAGTAAATGTATGCTGTTTAAAAACCTCGTGATTGCTGAACAAGAAAATGACACATTCATATTCCAATGCCGAGGTTAATAGAAAGTCGATCCTGGGAACTTTTACTAATATTATGGCCATTGTTATCAATATCACTGTCATCAGTATTGTAATTGTCGTTATCATTATTATTCCTGTTATCACTGTCATTACTAATACTATAAAAAAGGACAAAGTACTCGGCGTCGATCTATCCCTGAGGTATGTGCCGTGCATTCTACCTCATTAAGCGTCGTTGGAGGTGACTGAATGCATATCTGACCTTTGTAACTTTTGGTGACCTACTGATGTGTCGATCCGGTGCTGTTACCCTCCTAGACAAATCCGGTACCAAATTGCAGACCGCGGAGGGACGAAAGACACGGTGAGCCTGGGCAAGGTGATCGTCCCATGTGTATTGTAGGGCTCCTCCGACCACTGCGCTACACGTGCCCCCATTACCAATACTAGCATTATCATCTTCATAATTATTACTATGACTTTAACTAACCTTTCAAAACTTGAAGTAATGTGCCATCGATCCCATCATAAATTATCACTTTGTTATCAGCGGCCACAAGTAGTTCAGACCCATCGGGCTTGAATGCAAGGTCGTAGACGCAATGTCTAAAACATCCACTTAATCGAACGCTTCTTAGCATATTTGAAAACTCACCTCTTAACTCTCATCTACACTAGAAACAATTCAAAAAATTATGAGTGCTTCTTGACCAGATTATATAATCAAGCAATTCAATCAGAAACACCTTGCCATGAAACCTCATGAGTGTGTTTAGTCGAACAAGGGTTGACAACTTTTCAGTAAAGCGAGTCAGTTTTACCAACGTGAGCGACGAGCATATAATTTCACAGTTTCTAAAGAAATGTATTTGGATTTCAAACAATAGTCACTTCGAGAGATCTCCCAATAAAATAAATTACTGAGGTTACAAGTCTTTAATTTTTCATTCATTCCATTTCACTCGATCAGTCATCACATCTGCTGCGCGGATCCCAGCACTGCTTGCATTCGATTCATTTCCTCGTAGCCATCATCCACGAAGGCCTTTGAACTTTTCATGCCTAGGTTTGGCATGCTGCTGCTTGAAGATTGTTGTTTTCTCTGCCGTCGTTAATACTGGTTTAGTCGATTCTCTCTGCCGTCCCGGGATAGATGAGCTAGAGCGTCCTCACTTGAATTGGAGACAGTGAACTATTCCCAGACAAGTCTGGTCCCAATTTCCTGATCCGAAATGAATAAGAGGCTTGATGAGCCCAGAGCGGGTTCTATCCAGCAACATTCTCCTCTTGATGAGCGGAATCACAACCACTGTGCTGCCAGCCTCCTCGTTATCCAAAACAGTGACTAAGTAACGACTCAAATCTTGAAAACACCGGGTCCGCCATTGTGTGAAAATGTCCGAGTATATTTGAGGTTGAAGCCTACCACATCGATGTTGTGAATTCTCTTCAACGCAAATTAATCATCTAGTCATAGATACCCATAATCATAGCTCCTCTGCAAGCCCTTCCACTGTCCTGTAATTAATCATACATAGAGGCATGGTTCGTGTATGAATTCAGCTGACGCTTGAGGGCCTGCGATCTTCTCTCTTCACTGATGTATTGAATGCTGCCGAGTGTGGTCTGACTTGGAGTCTCAACATAACCGTGTTAGAGTTATCCCACATATGCGATATTCGCAGCAAGCAGCAATGAATGTTAGAGCTTTTTGGTCGCCAGTTAAGGAAGTTATTTTAAAAATTCAAGTACTGAAAATGGTTAAACTGTTAACGAATCCATCCGTCAATCGTTGCACAGAAAACATATATTAACTCACTTCCAGTGTTCACATTTATTCTTCATTAAATTACAGACCTGTTCAAAGTAAGTTGAGGATGCGGCTGTTAAAATTTCGAAGTTTATTCCAGTTACAGCCTTACAGTTGTTCTGACTTGTGCTATAGCAGTACAGTAATCATGTTTTGCAACACCAACCGATGCCAACTAAACAAACGAACTCGCTCCTGATGAAGTCGTTACTGACACTTCAGAAGAAGGAAGAAATGTCTCCCTAATATCTCAATCTTGTTGCAGCGTCGAGTTTTCTTTGGAAGAAATGTTGGAATCATAGGTGTTACAAAAACACTTGGAATCCCTATGTGACCGGTGCACATTGCCTTCTCATATTAATGTTAATTAGGGCGAGCACCTGAGTCGAGCTCTTTTTGACGGCATCGTTTAAAGACGACTCTCTGAAAGCCGTCCACGTCATTTGAGAAGCGGCAGTTGCATGTAGGCGAGCGTTGGAAGCAAGCTTTAATAAGCCATACATAATTCCGTTAGGCTTTCCATTCTCCTCCGGCTTTAACAAGACGAGATAGGGGAGCACATATGGTCGAGTTACCGTAGCATTCATAACCGAGTTAGGCCTCCCTTATAAGCACTGCTCAGAACGCTTAAAGCGGTACTACAGATGCCAACTCTACTAAGAGCAGGGCTGCTTTTAGCACTCGGTGTAGTTGCACAGGTACGTTCATTCTAGCTGGTCGAAAATTTCTTCAAATTCATGTTTCATCCTCGAGATTACTTCAAGGTGTCGACCGAATGCTGCACATCAGGCGAGCAATCTGACTTTTGCCTCGTCTACAACATGCTTGCACCTGTCGAACAAGCTGAAGTAATGAGTTATTTAGGCAAGTTGGAAAAATTGCTCAACAAAATGACATTTTGTTGAAAGTTAAGGCCGATGTTAAAATTCACAAATGGAGTGAACAATCTTGGTATTTAATTGCAATTAATATTATCTTACTACAACTTGTTGCTCCATAGTTACTCTTTCATGTTGTTCATTACGCCATTCAAACAACAACATTTTAAAAACCTGTCTGTTTTCAAACGTAGTTGCAGTGAATTAATTCGACCCCACAACTACAGGATCACCGCTGCACCTATATCACAAAACACTCTCACTGTTGGTAGCACTGTTAGGGTGAAAAACTGGCTGAGAGAAAGGCAAAGCAAGGGCTTCTGTTGTGTAATGGATAACACGTGTGCTCCCGGAAAGGGTAATCGCGGGTTCGAAGCTCAGATGGGTTCCAAGTTCTGCAAATATCTCAGCATCATTGTGGTTATATTTTACATAATACCTTGCTACGAAGAAATAATAATAGGCAATCAATAGGAAGATAGACAAGCAATTCTGTTATCGAGTAACTTGACAAGATATTGAAAAAGTCTCCATCGGACTGCCGTGAATACCTGAGGGGCGTGCATAGCACAGTGGTTAGAGGCGCCCTGCAATACACATGGTATCGACCTCGCATCCCAGACTTCTGTCCCTCCGGGGTCGACAAATTGGTACCAGAAATGTCCTGAAGGATGGAAAAACTGACTAGATACATCGGTAGGCCACCGCGTTTCATTGCACAGGCCAGATATGTATTTACTCACTTCTAACGATGCTCAATGAAGTCAAATGCATGGAAAATCCTTCAGGGACTGGTCAACGCCAGGGCTTCATCATCTTTACCCTTTAAACCTGAGACGGACGGGGTGCTACAGGAATTAACACTCCTGCCTATTGCAGTTCGACATCCAGGAACACCTCCAAACATGCCAGTGGTCATCTATTCAAGAAGTAAAGGACCGGGTAATAATAGTAATAATAATGACGAATAGGAATAATAGGATAATGGTAGTAACAACTAACAATAATAATAATAGTTAATAATAATAATAATGCTGAGATGTTTGCAAAACTCCGGACCGCAGATGTCTGCACTGGTGAACGAACGCTCAATTACGCTTTCTGGAGTCTAAGACGTTCATCACCACACCATGCGGGTCCTTCGTTTCGACTGTCTCTCGGTTAATTTTCTATTTACCAATATCATCAGCAAAATAGATAATAACAATAATAATATGATGATAATAATAACGAAAATAGCAATATGAACAGTAATAATGATTAATAACAACGACAATAACAATAGTAACAATACTGGTAATAATAATAATAATAGTAACAGTAATAATAATAATAATGGTAATAGTAATAATAATCATAGCAGAAATGATAATAGCAATAGCAATGATTGTGATAGTAACAGTAATATTAATAGCAACATAACGAACATTACTATTATGGCTACAATAGAGTGGCAAATGAATAAAGATTTCTTGATTTGAAATAAACATGCAAATCAGATATCTTAAACAAAATAAGCTATAGTAAACACCAGGACTGACTTTCTTTTACTCGTAGCATTGGTCAATCAAGTAAGCTGCAGCATTTTTTTTCATTCTTCTATATATGAACCAGGAATTCCATGCCAAAGTTCATTCAGGTGGAACATGCAGTGGGGATGCTGACGAGGCGCTTAGACTCATGGAGAAGCGAAAACCAAACTTCATGCGTTTCGGAAGAAGCAAGTTATTGAGTTTTTACAAGGAGAAGGCTACTAAGATTCAAATAGAAAAGTTGTCCTTTAAGGTCTTTCATTCGGAAAGAAGGGTTCTGATCCCAACTTCTTGCGATTCGGGAGAAGTCATCCAAACTTCCTGAGATTCGGAAAAGCGGCGGACAATCCGAACTTCCTTCGTTTTGGTACTGTATTTTATTTTTATTTCGCGCTTCTTTAATGAATTGTCTTATCCAATAAAGCATGAAAGGGCATAAGTTTAGCAACTAAAAGTTTCAAAATATGGTAACGCTCAATCACATCTACTTAAGTGCCCAACTTCCTAGTTCGTTTAAGAGAACGGTTAGTTGTTGGCGCTTTCTCCACCAGCGCGGTTTAATGAATCATATCTATGTCTTGCACACTGATTTTTTAAGAATGTTTTAGGCCGAGCTGGTGCCGATCCTAACTTCCTTCGCTTCGGCAAGCGACCAGCCGATCCAAATTTCTTACGTTTTGGTCGAAAGCCAAACTTCCTTCGCTTCGGAAGGTGATCAACCCATCACCAAGAAATTGAAATGGCATCGAACAGGCGATAAACTGGTCGGCGACTGGGACGCATGGCAACGCTCCTCCACTATTTCAAATCCGTCTTTATTTTAAAACTTCTAATATTTTGATAAGTGCATGGCAACGGGCACGCATTAAGATCTATCACGGTTTTTCTACAAACTGAAATAAAATTGGAAAAAATCTACGAGATTGCGACTACGATAGAATGAACTGAGAATCCTAGGAAAATTGCTAAGCAATTATCTGCATTTACCTAAAAAAATCAGGTGAAGCCAATTGGCTTGTAGCTAGTAACCTCAGTGAGTGGAGTATCAGCTCGGCAATAGAATATCTCAAGTCCAATCTCAAGTAATCTAAAAAACACAAGTCATTGGCAGCCCTGACACTTTTTGCGACTTTACTTAGTCATAAGAGAGTGTTGAACCTCCCAACGGTTTACCTCCTCATCGTGGCTAAGTGTTCCTGGGTGTCGGACTTCGATGTACAGCGGGGAGATTTATCCCCCTCGCAGGGCCTCCCAAACTGAGAAGGAGACCGGCGTTTCCCTCAGGAAGCCTAGCTAAGAGTAAACTGGTACCAGGATCCACCACTGTCCTGGTATCAAAATCGCACGGTGGCAAATCTCCCTCTGATCCACAAGAGCTGTGACTGCCTGTGGTGGTGAAGACCTGGGGCAGAGTTTGGCTGGCCAAGCTGACCTTGGGATTCCAGGGAACCACAATGGTTTAACCAGCAAATCTCCGAAAAATGGATATTATGCTGGGGCTCGCACAACTAGTGAAGGCGGGCCGTTCAAGTATCAAGCACCGAGTAAGAAGAGAGTGTTAATGAACGAGATACTCACCACCATTAAAAAGCCTGTATGTCACATTTTGAACACGATTTGTTCCCAAAAGACAAGGGGTGTGATAAAGAACTGTTGACCAGGGTGCTTTACTAGAGGTTGTTATAGCCATCGAACCCCTCGTCGTACAAGAGGTTACCTACTACCTCGAACAAGTGATAAACTGGATGAACCATGTTCAAACTGTATGAGAGACTTGGTAGAACTATTCAGCCTAAATCTCTGAGCTGTCTGTGAGTCAGATTTGTAACGTGGGGCCGACTGCTGTCAGATAAAAACCGGTCTGTTAGAAGTTTTAGTCGTTTTTCTATTACGGAAATGGCGAGCTTACTAGTAAACTACGTTCAGTGGTTCGGCTTAACCATGTGTGCCCACTCTTGTAGCTTCGAGAAAATCGTGTCCTGCTAGTCACGAAATACGACATTTATCATTTTGCAGTTATATAGATCGGATTCCAATTGTAATGACGGTCCCAAGTGTTATCAGTCAGAAATTGTATCGTTTCTCATTCTCCTGGAGAACATGGCCTAAAATTCCTCTCAAGAAGCCTTGTTGATGCAGCTAAAGTGGAAAAAAAAGATGCCGTTCACGGATACTAACCCAAACAAACCACATGCATGAATAGTATCGTCGTCCAACATGATGTGGTTTTCTAATCACTCCATGTCTTCTCGACTCATTTCGCCACCGTCGGAGCTCTTGAACCACAACCGGCCAGCTCGTTCATAGTATTCTAATATTCCCAGTGAAGCCTCTGAAGCGTTCACCTCTTCGAGGATTTACTTCAACATAGTAAAAGTTTTTTTTAAAGCCAAAACAAATGTCTGAACAGAAATTAGCAAGAGCTTATGTTAGAACTCAACAGCTGGCTCAAGAAATCACCGTTCATTTAAGACGGAAAATCAATGGATAATCATGAGCTTTTGGTCGACAATAACGTACGCCTGAAAATCCACAAAGCGTAGTGAAGAAAAACATCCGAACCTGTGCTAGAAATCTGAAGTGGGAAATAAGAGAGACTAGTGAGGTCTACTTTCGAGAACAATTTCGAAATCCGTTAACTGTCTCTCGTAGATTCGTCAGAGTTTAGTAGGAGAAGGTTAGCGAAAGTTCCGCAGCACTTGCTAAACATAACGATTTCAACCATAATGATGCTGAGATATTTGCAAAACTCCGGAATGCAGGTGTATGCGGTTGGGACCGAACCCGCTACTACCCTTTCAGGGGACCAGCGCGTTCACCACGGCGCCATGTGGATCCTTCGTTTCGCCGTCTCTCAGCTAGTTTTCTACTTAGCAGTGCCATCACACTCATCAACGGGCTTGATTTGGTTAGTATAAATCAGCGTTGAACCCAGTTAAGCTATGGGTGAGAGACATGGGAAACGAAGGACCCGCATGGTGCGGTGGTGAACGCGTTAGCACCCGGAAAGTGTAATAGCACGTGCGTTCTTCACCGCAGACACCTGTGGTCCGTAGTTTTGCGAGTATCTCAGCATCATTATGGTTGTATTTCACATAGTACCCAGCCGTGAAAATATGTAGTAGACAGGAAATAAAAAACAACGATTTCAATTCTGACAGAGGTCCGTCAGATGAAACCACTGAAAAATGTTCCGATGGATTAATATCCCGATTTTTTGCTTCTTTTGAAAACCAACACTTCCAGAACGATAAGTGGTTAGATTGATGAAAAATATCTCAAGAAACTTTACATACAACTCCGGTTAATGTAGTGCTCGTAACTGTTTTAAGTGCGTCCCGTTAAGAACTTGCTTCACAGTTAAGCAGAAGAACAGAAAAATGCACAAAGAGGCTTAAGACAACAACAAGGCATATTCTGAATTTTTAAAAGTATGTGATTTAGAAAAGGGCGCGTGTGGCGCAGTGGTTGGAGGCGCCACTGCGACACGCACGTGGAATCGACCCCCGCGCCCATGGCCCACCAAGACTTCCATCCCTCCGGGGTCGGCAAATTGGTACCAAACTTGTCTGGGAAGATAGCAGCACCGGATCGATACATCGGTAGGCCACCGTGAGTCATTGTAAAGGCCAGATATACATTCAATCACCTCCAACGACACTTAACGAAGTCGAACGCATGGCGCATCCTTCAAGGATTGATCAATGCCGTGAGCTTTATCCTTTTATTTTATTATTTTATTTATGATGTGGATGGGTTTTATGATTTGGACTCAGGCTAAGAGAAGAAATCGACAAGCTGAGAATTACAATGCAACCCACCCGCCCTCATGACCCTCGTCTTCTGGAACCTTGTCGATCCAGCTGAGCACGGGCCGCATCCAGACGACGACAAACCGGCGAAGCTCGTTCAGATCGACGGACTGGGTGCATCGCTCACCATGGCAACCGGTGCTCCTACCTCGATTTCAAACTCCGGAATTCTCAACAGTAAACAGCGAACAGCCTTGCAGCTAAATCTACATGTGTAAATCTGCATGTAGAAAAAGAATAAAGCTCTTGGCGTTGATCAACAATCCCTGAGGGATGCGCAAAGCATTCGACTTCATTAAGCATCTTTTGGAGGTGATTGAATGCTTATATGGCCTTTAAAATGGCTCGAGGTGGCCTATTGATGTGTCGAGCCAGTGTTGCCATCCTACCAGGCAAGTCTGGTACCAATTTGCCGACCCCGGAGGGATGGTAGGCTTGGCGAGCCATGGGCGCTGGGATCGTTTCCATGTGTGTGTCGCAGGGCGCCTCCGACCACAGCGCCACACGTGTCCACGTGTATATATATACATATATATTTATATATATGTGCATATGTATATATATATACGTGCATCATATTGGGTTAAGTAAAACGAGTTGCAAATCCCACCTTGTAGCGACCGCCGTTTCTCTCTCATTCTGTGCACCAATTGCTTCCATCACTATCTTTCCAGATGGGAAGTCCCTGAGTACACCCCTCGCCCCTATTGTGCAGAGCAACTCAAAAATTTAGCAGAACCCCCAACACTTTCCTAGGTCTCACACGCACTGTTCAGAGGCAGGAGCGTTTTAGACGTTCAGAAAATCCACCGCAGTGCTTACACCCCATTTGACGACGTTCCCTGCTTCTTCCTAGCAGTTGGTTTCAAAACCCTCCGTCGAATAAGCTAAATGTTGTTCCTCATTATGGGCTAATATCGAGTAGATGCTCATTATCACCCTAAAAAGAAGGGTTTCTGAAAAGCGAAAGACACGCTATGTTTAGTGTTTTGCATAGGAAAGCAATCTACCAACCTTCTGGAAGAACCTGTTTTGAAGGGCACCGACAGAGTTTGTTTTGAAGTCGCTGGTAGTTGCTGCTTTATGGTCTTTGAAGAAGCACTTGAGCCTAATCCATATTTCGTTTTTACGGTTGTGATACGTATCTATTGTTTTTGACTTTTAGCAGCTTTCATGTTTTCTTCTATTTAGACGTTAATGACAACTCGACTTATCGTTAAGAGCTTGCCGTCGAATTGTACAGAGGAGAAGTTAAGGGCGTTTTTCAAAAAATATGGCACACTTAGTGATTGTACACTAAAGTATACGACGGAAGGAAAATTCCGGAAATTCGCCTTTGTTGGCTTTGACAATGCGGAAAACGCGAAGAAAGCGTTGAAAGAAACGCATCTCTCTTATATGGACTCTTCCCGATTACAGGTAACCCTTAGTTCTATCCCGACATTTCAAATGGCATCGTTACGCATCACTTATACCAGGTAGAAGAATGTAAACCTTTCGGTGATGCAAACAAACCGAGGGCTTGGAGCCAGTATTCCAAAGACAGCAGGTAAATCTAGAAATGGTTTGAAATTTTGCCGTGTAAATTCAGACTTGTTCGGGGTAGGGGCGTTCCATGACAGGGTAGCATGATGCTCTTCAGCGCTTTTCTTATTCATTTTGGTACTTATTCAACTTTTATAGTGCATATAAGCGAAAGCACGATGATGGGTCAACTTTACTCGAAACGGCTGCAGGAGAGCGTACGTTTGGTGGAACTGCTGAGAAGAAAAGGAAGCTCGATCCTGAATATCGCGATTTTCTGTGGACCCAGGGTATTAACTGTAACGAGGTTTGTGTACTTATATTACGTTGATGCTTCATATTCCTACTCTGAATCCCATTTTAGCCTCAGAAGCGTTCTGGTACGGAGAATGCAGTTGACAGTGATGAGTTGTTGAAGGAACTGTTGAAAGGAATCACAGGTCTCGCCTTTCCGCTTTTAGACTTTTGTGGTTTTTTTCTAAATTTGGATACTTTTAGGAGACACCAAGTTATCCCTGATATTCTCTGGTTTGCCTGCCTCAATAAAGCAAAAGAACCTAAAGGAATGGCTAACTCCTGTAAGAGTGAAAGCCCTTAAGGTTTGTTTTAGTAGCACTAGCTAAGTTGTTTGAAATTTATGCCGAGAAATTCGTATTTCTTTTTAAAATAATACCCGACTTCATACATTGTGCGAATGCCACTACCCCTCTCATTTGCTTCGTGGCCTTGCTTCCGTGATTCACAGAGGTCTTCGAATTTCATCATGTCTTTGGGTGATATTTGAGTGTTTTGTCTTGATCATCAATGTGGCGGAATCAGAAGGAGCTCGTCTAATATGTCTGGGACCAAATTTCTGACCCTGGAAGACTACTGGACGTAGTTGGCTGGGTACAGGGTCAAAACAGCCAACATACGTGTATTGCGCGGCATTACTATCCTCTATATTGCCCGTGCCAAGTTTTACTTCGCCACATTTCCTATATCTTAAAACTGAATTATTTTGTCCAAATTTCTTTTTTTCAGATTGTCAGAAACGGAAGTTTTGCTGCAGCCTTCGTCACCTTCAATCGTCCGCCTGATGTTCGCAAAGCTCTTCAGAGAAATCAAGAGTATATAGGAGGCTATAAGGTACTTTCCACGTGTCTGTGCCATTCGATACGGGGCCAATGTAACGCAGTGGTCGGAGACGCCCTGAAGTACACATGGGATCCACGCGCTCCGGGCCCACAAGCCCGGCGTCCATCCGGGGTCGGCAAATTGGTACCAGACTTGTCTGGGAGGATAGCGGGACTGGCTTCTTGCATCGGTAGACTAGCGTGAGTCTTTATAAAGGCCGGAAACACATCCGATCACCTCCAACGATGATGAAGTCGAGTGCATGGTGCATCTCTTATGGATTGAGCAACATCGAGAGCTAGCTTTCTTTATCTTTTATCATTCGCTACAGTACCCGTAGACGCTTTTTTGTATGAGATCTCTACAGGTTTTGCTATTCGGCCCGAGTGTTGACTCCATCGTTAGATTCATGATCATTTTTTAAACTATCCACTGATATGTTGAATGTAGTTTTAGCATGAACCTTCACCTAGAAGGCAGCTGTTGAATACTTCAGTATTTTGCATTATTGTCGAGAGTCACAAGTTCGATATACCTCAAAAGAATGCTTTTGGTTCACTTGAGGTGAATTCGAAATCGAGACCGTGCTCGTAATATCTGAACAGCGTTTTTGGGTTCGCATTCCCATTTATGCTTCTGCTTGCATATACCATCAGTTGTGGTTTCCGTTTGCATGTTTATGTTTAAAATCTCATTTTTAGCTCACTATTTCAAAAGCGAAGGTGGAGGATGAATTTCCTGATACTACTGCGCACAACAAGGACAACGAGGACATCCCTGTTAGTAGAGAAACTGAAGAGGTAAATATAGCAGAGCAGCCTGTTCTTTTTCTCTCAATTTTTTGGCGGTTTTGAAATGAGGTCTATGAAGCTATCTCTACCGTAGTGTCCACTTCAATATAATATCTGGATAAATTTCTTACGGGTGCAAACCATGGAACTGGAGAGAGGCTTATTATTTGTACGACGATGTCTATAGCATCGGAAACATTTAACTTTTGGAAGGTTTCGTCATATTCCTGTGGTTTTAATACTTTTAAGGCACACTTTTTGCCTACAATATAATCTGTGATTGTTTTATGAACTATCCTGGAGGTTGTTAACTCGTATTGCTTACGTTTGACTTATGATCCTTCTACTTCATCTTCTTCAGGGCCTAGACATGTTAAATAGCCTTATTGTTTTTGTCCAGTGAATATTCTGTAGTTTTAATGAAAAGTTAATGTTTAAACCAAACCTTTTTAAAGTACTCATTCTTTTCGTTTTCTAAAGAGTGAGATCACCCATATATTGTTCACATAGGATCACGAATGGGAACACTGAGACCAGATGTCCGATCGATTTTTGGTTTTTTGAAATTCATCCAGAATGCCTCAAGAGTCTGCACATCTTTGTTTTTGATTCCTGCGTGAATATCGTGACTGAGCGAGGAGTACTTCATCGCTTTTTAAGCGTTCCGCTTTGTGTTCCTTCATGCGAGCACAAAATGATGTACCCGTTTCGCCATTATATTCATGTCAGGCACACTTTAAAAGCGCTGCTCATTCCGGCGGATATTTAGGGCAGCTTGAAAGAAATGCCTTTAGGTTTGAGATATTACTTTGCAGCTTTACTCTTCCCTTAACTTTAACCGAAGTAGCTGTTGTTTCTTAGCCGTTGGAGATGGGTATTTGTTGTACCTAGCCATTTCTGCTTCTGCTCTTCTGTGAGCACTTTTTTCTACCTTATATGGAGGTGAATAACTTCAAGGTCTATTTCAAGGATTTCAGGTTAGAATCCGTGAAGATCTTCTGGAAACTGGTAGACTTTTTGTACGAAATTTACCATTTACAACAACGGAGGAGGACCTGTATTCTGTTTTTCGAAAGTATGGTGAAATTGCTGAAATACAGGTAGTATAGTATGCTGTTATTTGGTACTTTTCCAATTGTCCTATTTCACCAGTTTTTGCTTTCCCTAGCTTGCAGATAGAGCTTTTACTGTTTTCTCATTTCTATTGTTTTTCTGTTCTATTTCTAGGTGATTATTGATAAGAAGACGAATAAGTGCAAAGGATTTGCCATAGTAGAGTACGTCTTTCCCGAATCGGCGGTAGCAGCTTATTCATCGAGTGACGGAACAATTTTTAAGGCACATTTTTTCCACTAATTAGTATCATTTCTCCGAGTGGTGATTTTCTTCGTGTCAGTTTTCCTAAAAGTCTTTTACAATTTTCCACCCTGTACACTTAGATTGCAGGGTCGAATGATGCACATAATTCCTGGATCAGAGAGGCGTGAAAAACCGTATGAAATGAAACCTAGAGAATATGAGAAGACGTCGTATAAAAAAGAGAAAATCGCTAAGCTGAAGATCAATGCAGGGAAGGTTTGTCAACTTAGTCAACTAATGGTAGTTGTTTGGTAAAAAGTTTCACTTTCAGTTTTTAGAGTATTCAAAATGTTTTACAGTTCGTCATGCTTATGCTAAAATTAGACAGTACGATTCACTAACCTTTCTTCGATTGTCATGCTTAGGTTCACTCGTGGAATTCGTTGTTTCTTGGGCCTAACGCTGTCGCAGACACTCTTGCTGAGAGACTAGGCATTGGAAAAAGTGATTTAATAAATTCAGAAATCGGCGAAAGGTGTTCTACTGCTTACCTTCCTTTGTATTTCTCTTTGAAAATTTTTTAGTAGCACATTATTCGTCGAAGTCGTCTTTTCCAGTGCTGGCGTTCGGTTAGCACTAGCGGAAACAAAACTTGTTCGTGAAACTCGTGAGTTTTTTATTGCCAGCGGTGTTTGTCTAGATGCGTTTTCAAGACCCGCAGCAAACAGAAGGTTAGCTCTAAAGAATTTTTTTGGTTTTTTTTTTGTTCAATTTATTTTGGTGAAGCCTTGTAGATGTATCCGAATGTCATTTCAGTTTGTACCAGTTTTATTATGTTCTTCTTTAGCAATATGGTTATAATAGCCAAAAATCTACCTGCTAATGTTAAAGTGGAGGAGTTGCAGCGAATGTTTGGGAAGTTTGGCGAGGTTGACAAAGTACTCATGCCTCCCGGTTAGTGCTTTCTTACGTCCTATGCTGCTCTTAGAAGCCAAAAGTTTGGTAACGGTCGACTACTATGAACATGGTAATCCATCCCATCTATGGATATAGGAACTCATTTGAGAATGCAAATTTAGGTTGTACAATCCCTGGTCTTCCGTAGTGACCGAAGCCTAAGCATAATTTGCTTGACTTGTTTTAATCTGTGGTCTAATATTAAATTTAAGCACACATTGCGATACATTAAGATACTGTTAAGTTTCATCTGGTGGAAGTTATTTTACTTCTAATTTTCAATTATCTTCATTGCAGAAGGTGGCATTAGTGCAATTATTGCCATGAGTAATTCCAACGATGCGAAAAAGGCTTTCCAAGCATTGGCCTACTCTCGATTTCACACTCAACCATTGTATCTCGAATGGGCTCCTGGTGACGTATTCGGCAAGCCTGTTGAAAAGAGAGTGAGTCCACTACTTCGTAACCACATGAAAAACTCCTCCTCTGAAAGTTTGACATGTCTTCGTTACGTTTCTATTTTAGAATCATTGATGAGTACTTGAATTCATAGGGGCTCTTTACTTAGAAAACATGTATGATTCGATATGAGATCACGTGGCTTTAGTCGGATTTCTGCAGGCTTCTTCATAAATTGTTTAATGAACATGATGTTTCAAGCCTGAAGCAACCTGTGAGGTTGACGTCCAAATTAGCGAAGCTGAAAGAAGTGTAAAGAAGAAAAATAAGCGGGAGATGACCTATGAAGAAAGGAAGCATGAAAGAATGAGGAGAAAGAAAGGAAAAGCGGATGTTCAAGATGAGAATGCAATGGAACCAGAGGTGACTTCGCTGAATTCTGCCCAACCGTCTTCTATAGAGGTATATTTTATAAAAGCTGTTGAAAACTCTTGGTGAAATATGTTTGTTAAGGGAATCAGTGTTGAAGGCGAAAAGAGTAGTGATCCACAACCAATTTCGGAAGGTTTTAATTCCAACGACAGTGAGGCTGTAGAGCCTGGGTCTACAGTTTTCGTTAAGAACCTTTCATTTGAAACCACCGATGAGAACCTTGCGAAGCTCTTCAGGTGTGTTTTGATATTGTAAAATTCATTGCACTGCTTTGGTTGAGGATATGTGGGCAGTAGTTCCCTATAAAAAATAGTTGTTTCTCAGTGATCTTTAAAATTATATCATCATTGATTAATGATTGACTTTCAAGAGTGTGTTAGACAAGCCTTAAGTATCACCTTCATAGTTTTGAGCTTCATTATTTCTTTAAATTGGCGATGTTTTGGAGCTCCAAGACATCGAATTTCGTCATCACACTGGTTTTTTGTGTGCATCTTTTGAACTGCCTGAAGCGTAGAACTGAGACAGCCTTCAGTAGACACATCACAAGTTTTTTCACTGCTAAGAGTATCAGCTTATAGAGAGCCACCATTTTCAATCTGTGTAGAAATATCCAACTCAATTAATGTATATGCAGTTAATTTTAATACTTTAGAGTGAAATACCGCATAAAATTCGCGCAAATATCCAAAAAATTAAATCCGGCGGATCCTGGAAAGAGTCTTTCTATGGGGTTTGGATTCATTCAGTTTTACACACAAGACGAAGCACAACGAGCCATCAAAGAGATGCAGGTTGGTTAGCATAAATTCGAAGTGGTATTTTGACATCTAAATTTCTAACGTAGTTCCGTAAGGCCGTTAGCAATCACTCCCTGTCGTAGGTCGCTTTTTCAGTGTTCAGCAAGGATTCTCAATAGTAGAGCAAATCCCCCCATAAAACATGCGGACATAAAATTCTGCATGTTTTCAGGCATGTTCTCAAAACCATCAATCACTATCGCTATTATAACTCGTATGAAATGCTGAGATATTTGCAAAACTCCGGACCACAGGTGTATGCAGTGGGGAACGAACACGCGCTGTTGTCCTTACCGGGGAGCAGCACTATCGCTATTGATAGTTTATCTCTAACCTTATATCCGCATAAAAATGTGGTATGCGGGAAATTAGGGTGTTAATAAATTCAAGGACCTTTAGACTATCAATCCAGTGATAAGGGTGGAGACTTCGTAGTTATTCCTCTCCATTTAGATGTTAAGATAACGCAGGAACGTCTTATGATGCTTCCCTTTATTTACCATTATCTGAAATGGAATACAAATGTCATTGCCGAAAACTAAACAATCAATTTGTCAGAGTAGTAAGGGCGTCAGGTTTAAAATCGTTAGTTATTTAGAACCTTAAATTGTATAAATCAACATGTCTGATCTTACATTTGCTTATTAAACACATGAGTTAGTTTCCAGGATCGATTTTCTATTAACCTCGGCGTTGGAATATGAATGCGTCATTTTCTTGTTCAGCAATCGCGAGGTTTTTAAACAGCATACATTTACTTCCATAGAAAAACAATACAATACAACGCTAGCTGACGTTTCGGCATTATCGCCTTCTCCAGAGCCTGGAAGGGTACACTGATATACAATCTACTAGGCCAAACGCTTCAATAACACTTACAAAAAGGCGAAAAATTCTATGGTAATTACATGATCAACAGCTTCTCGAAAAACCCACCGTTTTTTCGTGACTTCCAGTGAGGAAGTTTAGAACAGCTGATTATAGTCGCATATGGTTAACGACTGCACCATCCCACATCAAAAATCGATGCGAACATACGGAGTCAGGTCGCGTATGACCTCCGGGCACTCATCCCTGCTATTCATTGTAGGGTTTTTGGCATTGATCCAAAAAGCCTCAAGGAGTTTTCGCGCTGGTGTTTTGGACTCCTGTGCAGGGATATTGACTTTTACTTCAAAATCGTCTCCGCTATTCTTTTGTTTCCTATGTGTGCCTAATGAGGTGCTTCGTCTTAATTTTCGTTTGCCATCTAGGTGTTCTTTTATACGGATACACGAAGGTCTGCCCGTCTCGCTAATATATTCATTTCCGCAATCGTTACAAGAGATCAGGTATATCGTACCTAAACTCGTGCAATCATCGTCGCTGCCGTAAGGGCAAATTACGCAATTTGTTGTTTCACACAGGAGGTCATACAGGCGGTTACGAACTAATTGACGATGTAGAGTAGCCGGTGGTATTTCAAATATCGCTACCGATTCCTCTAGACCTGCCCTTAAGCATCGTTTTATAGCTACGCTTACTTCATCGCTTATAAAAGGCAACATAAACGGGATTTTGTTTTGGCCAAGTGTTTCGCGTGGGTGCGTCGTTCTCCTTGTAAACTTATCTCGTGGGGTCACTAATTCGTAGCCATTGGAGATGGCTATTTGCCGAGCCAAGTCGCGCGATTCTTCCTTTAGTTCCCTGGTAGTGCACACAGAGGTGGCTGTTCGAAACATGTTTCTCACAATCGCCCTCTTTGTGTGTGAAGGGTGGGAAGAAAGGAAATGAACAAGGATGTTCTTGTTACTTGGCTTTCGATACCACTTTGTCAGGTAACCGCTACTAGATAGGTTTATTTGGACGTCCATAAACGGAAGCCAGTTTTCTCTCGGTTTCTCCCGGGTGAACTTTATGTACTCGGACTGCTCGTTCAATAATTCAAAGCATTTGTCCATCTCCTCCTGCGTAGAGAAGACGAAAAAACAATCATCTACATATCTGCAGTAGAGTAGTGGCCGGAGATCGAGGACAGGGGCTTCTATCTTAGACATAAACACAATGGCNCCTCCTGCGTAGAGAAGACGACAAAACAATCATCTACATATCTGCAGTAGAGTAGTGGCCGGAGATCGAGGACAGGGGCTTCTATCTTAGACATAAACACAATGGCAAAACTTGGTGCCAATCGCTGTCCCATAGCCAAACTCCTGTTCTGTAATCGGTAGCGATAGTTGAAATACCACCGGCTACTCTACGTCGTCAATTAGTTCGTAACCGCCTGTATGACCGTCTATGTGAACAACAAATTGCGTAATTTGCCCTTACGGCAGGGACGATGATTGCATGAGTTCAGGTACGATATACCTGATCTCTTGTAATAATTGCGGAGGTGAATATATTGGCGAAACGGGCAGACCTTTGTGTATCCGTATAAAAGAACACCTAGATGGCAAACGAAAACTAAAACGAAGCACCCCACTAGGCACGCATAGGATGCAAAAGCATAGCGGAGACGATTTTGAAGTGAAAGTCAATATCCTTGCACNTGAACAACAAATTGCGTAATTTGCCCTTACGGCAGGGACGATGATTGCATGAGTTCAGGTACGATATACCTGATCTCTTGTAATAATTGCGGAGGTGAATATATTGGCGAAACGGGCAGACCTTTGTGTATCCGTATAAAAGAACACCTAGATGGCAAACGAAAACTAAAACGAAGCACCCCACTAGGCACGCATAGGATGCAAAAGCATAGCGGAGACGATTTTGAAGTAAAAGCCAATATCCTTGCACAGGAGTCCAAAACACCAGCGCGAAAACTTCTTGATGCTTTTTGGATAAATGCCAAAAACTCTACAATGAATAGCAGGGTTGAGTGCCCGGAGGTCATGCGCGACCTGATCCCGTACGTTCGCATCGATTTTTGTTGTGGGATGGTGCAGTCGTCAACCATATGCGACTATAATCAGCTGTTCTAAACTTCCTCAGTGGAAGTCACGAAAAAACGGTGGGTTTTTCGAGAAGCTGTTGATCATGTAATTATCAAAGAGTTTTTCGTCTTTTTGTAAGTGTTATTGAAGCGTTTGGCCTAGTAGATTGTATATCAGTATACCCTTCCAGGCTCTGAAGAAGGCGATACTGCCGAAACGTCAGCTAGCGTTGTATTGTATTGTTTTTCTATGGAAGTAAATGTATGCTGTTTAAAATCCTTGCGATTGCTGAACAAGAAAACGACGCGCACATGAGTAAGTATCACCTGGTGACCTTACTCCAACCAAATCCATCATTCCGCAAGGTTAGACCCATTATCAGTTGTGTAAACGGGCAAAGGGATAGAATTGCGTGGTTTACTAAGCCTGTTATTTACCCAGTTGCATAAACATATTCCGTCTCACCTCACGAACACCTAAATGTTCTTAGAACGTCTACGTAACGCGCCTCCCAACAGTGCTTACATGATAGAGACCGTCGATATTACTGTGCTTAACACCGACGTATCCAATGACTCCGCAATGCAGACCATCCTGGAAATTCTTGTTGAACATGAGGGAAGAATAAGCATGTATGGCTTCCCAGTTTAGCAGCTTATGGCTCTGTTAAAGGAATGTCTAAAGTGCTTAGTTTGGTGGTTCTGAAGAACATTACGCGCAAATGAGGAAATTGGCCATGGGACAGCAACTGGTATCAAATCTTGCATTTTTATTCATTTCTAAAGTAGAAGCTCCCGTTCTCGGTCTTCAGCCGCTACTTTGCTGCAAATATGTAGATAATTGTTTTCTCATCTTCTCTACGCAGGAGGAGATGGACAAATGCTTTGAACTGTTGGACAAGCAGTGTGAGCACATTGCATTCACCCGGTTAAAACAAAGAAAACTAGGTTCCATTTTTTAACGTTCAAATCAGCTTGGATAGTGGTTACATGGGAAAATAATAGCGAAAACCAAGTAACAAAAACATCTTTGTTCATTTCTTCTCTTATCCTTCGCACAAAAAGAGGACGTTTATGAGAAACATGTTTCGAACAGCCAACAATATGTGGACAAAGAAGGAAATAAAGAGGGAATCGTGCGACTTTACTCGGCAGATAGCCACCTCTAATTGCAACGAAACACTAACATCACGAGATAAGTTTAGAAGGAAAGCGTTGTCTCAAAATGGAAGACTTGAACGAAGGGAAATTCCATTTATCTTGTCCTTTATTAGCGATGAAATAAGTGCAGCGATAACGTTGCTTAAGAAGGGCAGGTCTAGAGGAATCGGTAGCGATAATTGGAATAGCACCGGGTAATCTTCATTGTCACTTAGTTCGTAACCGCCTATATGACCGTCTATTTGGGACAGAGAATTGCGTAATTTGCCCTTATGACAGGGAAGGTGATTGCGTGAGTTCAAGTACGATATACTTGAATTTTTTGTAGTATTTGCGGAGACGAATATATTATGGAAACGTGTAGGTAATTATGCATTCATATAAAAGAACTCACCTAGATTGCAAACGAAAAAGAAGACAAAGTAGCCTTCAAGGCACGCATTGGATGCAAAAGCATAGCGGAGACGATTTTGATACAAAAGTCACTATCCTTGTCCTCGCACTTTGGTGAAACACCAAGAATCCTAGAATGAATAACAGGGAAGAATGTCCACAGATCACATGTGATCTATCCCCATATGCTAGAATCGACTTTCGATGTGGGGCGGTGCACTCATCAGCCATATCCGACTCTAAATGGCTGTTCTTCCTCAGTGGAAAGCACGTAAAAGCGGTTGGTTTTCGAGAAGCTGTTGACCATCTGGTTATCATTCAGATTTTCGCTTTTCTGTTTGTGTTATTGAAGTGTTTTGCATGGCAAACTACGTATAAATATACCTTTCCAGGCGCTGAAGAAGGCGATACTGCCGAAACATCAGTTTTACTAGGACAAAGAGTAGAGCAACACTTCATTTTTGCTCAGCATGAGCATAAAGAATAGAATATAATCTCTAGGCATTGCTGCGATTCTTTCTATGGTTCTTAGAACTTATCCAAAAAGCCTGAAGAAGTTTGCACCGCGCTGTTTTGGCATTCTGTGCGAGGATAGTGTCTTTTAATTAAAAATCGTCTCCGCTATACTTGTCCCTAGTAGGGTACTTTGTCTTGTTATTCGTTTGCCCTCTAGGTGTTTTTTACGTGGATACATAATGGTCTGCATATTTCGCCAATATATTCTTTTCCGCAAGTATTACAGGAAATCATGTATATCGTACTTGAACTCATGCAATCACTGTCCCTGCTATAATGGCAAATTACACAATTTTACGTTTGGCATGGACGGTCATATAGGCGGTTGCGAAATAACTGAAGACGAAGAGTATCGGATGATATTTCATCTACCGCTACCGCTTCCTCTAGACCTGCCCTTCCGTTTTGTAGCTACACTTACTTCGTGGGTAATAAAGGGCAACATAAACGGGATTTTCTTTAGGCCAAGTCTTTCGTTCTGTGGCGTCGCTCTCCTTCTAAACCTATCTCGTGTGGTTACTATTTCGTGGACCTTGGAGATGGTTATTTGCCGAGCCAAGTCGCGCAATTCGTCTTTTATTTCCTTCTTCGTCCATACGTTGGTGGTTGCTCGAAACATGTTTCCCACAAGCGCCTTCTTTGTGTATGAAGGGTAGTAAGAGAAAAAAATGAACGAGGTTGTTTTCGTTACCACTTTGTCATGTAACCGTATAAGTTTATAAGTTTGTTTAAGAATAAATATTCTTTAACGTCGTTTTATTGAACAATTAGTATTTGATCCCCAACCCAACGGTTTTAGGGTGAACTACTGGATGGACATTGCTTGGAGCTGAAGATTTCTCATCGAGAACTTAATGATAAGGATGCGCTTAAACGAAAACTTGTAGCAGCTCTGGAGCAAGGAGATTGCACGAAGTTACTTATTCGAAATATCCCTTTTCAAGCAAGTATAAAAGAGATTGAAAGTCTTTTTTCCTCGTTTGGAGAGGTTAAGAGCATAAGAATCCCAAAAAAGGTCAGTTTTCTGAAGGATCTTCATTTCTTTCGTTTGCAGACTTATTGTATCAATTTTGTCACAATCTCTATTTAGATTGGCAATCGTAATCAACACCGTGGATTTGGTTTTGTCGATTTCATATCGATCGGTGAAGCTAAACGAGCCTTTGAAGCACTAGTTCACTCAACTCATATTTACGGAAGAAGATTAGTACTGGAGTGGGCAAAACAAGATGACACGGTACAAGAAATAAGGGAGAAGACTGCAGAGAAATTCAGGTCTTGTTTGTTAATTTTCAAATTTCCACATTATTTTCTCTTGTCACTACCCAATTTTCCATAAGCCCGAAACGTTTAGTCCTCTTCATAATTAATAAGTAACTTGGATTGGCACCACCGTACTTTTTCATCAGCGTCACTGCTATAACCGCTAGTTGATCGATCTATACTTGCTCAAAAAACAAGAATACCATCACATTTCTACTGTGATGGTTCCTTGTATTGTCTTTGGCCAAGTTGTCCAGGATTTACTCAGCATCTGTAGCTGACAACTTGGTCTTCACTGGACTTCCAAATCGATGTAGAACCTGTTTAAAATATAGGCGCCCAGCTGGGGTGAATGCTTTAGTCTACATAGCAGTTCAAACGTAGGTGCATTCCACCCTCATCCACGGTGAGGCAGCAGATCTTTTGATAAGAGTCTGTTGCTTGACTTGTTTATAAAATTGTTTATCGTTTTTCAAGAATTGTTTACTGTAAAGTTTGTCTATTCCGGTGATGGTAATTGAGATGTAGCTAGTACTACCCGTTCTAGACAAGATTTTGTTCTGATCTTAGATTTCGATTAGTATGTAATGAGAGAAAAAAATACTTCTGCCATAAAATTTGGAGCCAATGCCTAATATCTATCTAGAATCCGTGAAGTTGCTCCTAGTGCCGTAATATCAAAAAGGATTAGATGGAAACCGTATCTGTTCAATTTGATCACTTCTTTGCTTGCTACTTGAGGACTTTACGTTATATGCAAAGATTTCCTAGTTGTATAAACGTCTGCTTTTTTGTACGTCTTGTTTCCTTGTCGTATTCTCGCTATAAATAACTCGTTTCCAGTTCTTATGTAGAAGGTCGTTTTTTCATGTAAAATAGGGGCGAGTCGTCTACTGTTTGATCTGGGCTTTGCTAATAACTTGTGCTCTTTCACTTAACTTTTTTATCCTTTTGTCAAGTTTTTTTATATGACTTGACTTCACGTCTTCTGTGCCGACCTCAGCACTTCTCACATTCGATTTTTTTCCGCGAATCCATTTTTTTCCGTTTTTCCATTTCCACCCACGAAGATCTTCTAACTTTTACACGTAGCTTCGATTGCTGCTTGAGGATTTCCATTTCATTTTGAATGTTGTAGAATGCTTTTCGAGCAATTCTCCCTAGAGTCCTGAAATAGCCGGGCTGAAGCGTTCCCAGTTGGATTGCAGAGAGTGGCTTTTTCCCGGACAGGTCCGATACCATTTTCCCAACACCGGAGGGATGAGAGGCTTGGGTACCCCCCAGTGGAATCGAACCAGCACCGTGCTCGTGATGACCGATATGACTACCACTATGCTATCCGCCCTGTTTTGTGGGAATTTAGACTTAGTAATAGCACTACAGTTCTATAGAAATATGTCAAAACATCGAAATGTTTTGAAGACCAGCATTTTTAAAATATTTTCTATTTTACCACTACCTAATTTTTACGGGACTTTATCGTGAACTTTCTTCTTTCTCAATGAGTGACCTTCTTCTCAGTTTCAATTGTTTTTCTGCTTTTTGCTTCCCTCTAATATGAATGGGTGAAAATGATTTTCTTATGTTAGCAGAGTAGAGCAAACTTAGAATAACTAAGAAGAGTTCTAATTGAAATCCTTTTTAGTATTCTGTTGCTTCGTAAATGTGAGTGCACCGATTCACCATCATAATGATTAATGTGTATTTTCCTAATTTCTCATTTTGAGAATGTGATTTTTCAGTGGCAATCGGGCAGCGTTACGAAAACAAAAGAAGCGGATCGAAGCGATAGAAAAGGATTTGGCAGTGATTGATGATGATTAATCTCTTCTTAATGTACAATTTCAAAACTTGTACTTTCTACCTTCTCATTTTCTTTCGTTTTAATTGTACTTATCGCCAAAACCTTGCATAACCCTCAATGTTGTGTATGCGTATACTCCAACGCTTACCGATCCAGGTATTATTAATGACCCGTTTTGATTGATAATGAGACGAGATGTGATAGATAGCACGGTAAGAGTGTTGTACGCATTGTCGTTAAGAAGAGAGATGTTGCTATGTGTTAGGCGTTAATGCCGACAACAGATCTCCGTCTGCTGTTACTCCTTTCTTTATCATCTTGTTGAACGTGCTGTAGTTTATTGTTCTGCTGTATTTTATAGGTTGTTTATTGTAAGGGCGTAAACATTGTCCTTTATCTGACTACTCGAAGTTATGAATATGTGAGCATTATCTACACGTGCACATGCGTTTGTATATGTCGCCGTGATAGCTCAACTGATAGCACGTGTCTTTTGTGGTTTTCTGCTAGACATGTACAGAGTAGCGACTGTATCGACTGGAATAATTTGTGCTACAGGGCTTCGTTGTTTGTTGATTTCTTCGATTGCTATACGCTGAAAATAGAGTGTGGGTAAGCAGCTGCAAACACTTTTGTATATATGATAACATCCATGCTTGATGATAACCCTGAAAAAGTGACTTAGCATAGCTTAATCGTGACAGCTATTGCTTGGAGCGGTAAACTTAACAGATTAAGCATTTAGAGCTATCACAAACGTAAATGTGTTCGTGTAGGTATTAGAACATTAGAACGAAAAATTATCCCTGCTGGGGATGTGAAGCCGGGGAATAGGTACCGAATTGTGATTCAAGAAGTTACATGTTACTACTAAGACGTCAGCGTGCCATCTCAGTAGTACTGTTCGTATATTAACTAGGACAAATCTAGGACAGTTGGTGATATCCCTCATGAATTGGTGATGTACAGATATGTCGACTATTCATGCCCAGATCTCTAGAAGGCCTCAGGCTTTTTGTTTTTCTCAAGGTCTTTCGAGTTATTAATTGATGTTAGTTACCACTTCCGCTAGTGGTCTCCGTATCCAGAGCAATTCCATTTCACACGCAGATTTTTCAAATGCTAAAAAACATGTATATATTGTGTAACATTTGAGGATTATTTCCACGCTCAATCATTAAGGAAATTTACTACTCCTTTTGCAAGCGAATTGTAGCAGAGAATTTGAGTATCCTATCATATATGTAAGCGCGCATGTGGCGCAGTGGTTGATGGCGCCACTGCGACATACATGTGGAATCGATTCCCGCGTCCATAGCCTACCAAGTCTTCCATCCCTCGGTGTCAGCGAATTGGTACCAGATTTGTTTGGGAGGATAGCAGCACTGCCTCGATACATTTATAGGCCACTGAGAGTTATTGTAAAGGTCAGATACGCATGCAATCACCTCCAACGATGTTTAATGAAGTCGAATGCATGGCGCATCCTTCAGGGACTGATCAACGCCGGTAGCTTTGTCCTTATTTGTTTATCACATATGTCCCTATTATCAGTGAAACTATAAGTTCTGAGGCTATCGATCTCTTGAGAAAGAGCACGGCAGCTAGGTCACTTCTTACTTTGAAGTCTTGGGCAGTAGCTTCAGTGTCTAGTAGAGTTCCAATCTGTGTATACATCGTAATCATCCTGTAGCTCACCCGAATCACGCCTTCCTGCCAAATCTACAAAGTGACGAATTCTGCGGAGCTGTTGTGGAATTCCTGACAACGGCGGCTAGATCACTGGTTGGTCAGCCGGTTTTCACGCACATATTCGACCAACCTGCTAAGAAGACGAGTCGCGTGCGATTCCGGTGGTTACGTCTGACGGCCGACGATTTGCATAAGTCCGTCCACTCATGCACCTGTTCTCCGGACGACTGATCGGCATGCTGTCCTCGTGATGCGCATCGATCGTCTTCCTGATCAGGCGACACCGCTGTCCCGAGGCGGCGGCAATTCTCGTTCCGTCTCGTGCTCGCCAACAGTCAGTCCCGATGCCGCCGCCATCGGCCACTTTACACAACAATCAGCACCCGTTAGGTCTGTCCGTTTGAGTGTATGTGCATGTGTGTGTGTGTGCATGTATGTGTGTGCGTATGCATGCTTCTAAGCATTTATGTATATATATATATATATGTGGATGTTTGTACAAACGTGCGGTGCAAAAGCATGACACCAGAAATTTCTTTGATTTCACTAACTCTTCCGTCTTATCAGCAAGGTGATCGTGGAAGGTTTTACAAATATATCTACATTTTTCCGATTGAAACGTGTAAGTGGACGCATTGTATTCCCCTGGTAACTGAGACATGGTCATTTTGCGTACAGTAGTTTGGGCTTTGTCTCAGCCTCTCTAGTGGATGTTCTATGTATTTAGCTTATGTCTAGCCAACAACTTACACATTTGCCGACTTCTTTTCAGTTGAGTTGTGGTTTTTCTTTTGGATCTCAGAAGTCAATGACAAGTGATTGTCATTTTTACCAGACCTCAAGTTTTTGTCGTAACCCTCAGAATCTCTACATAGTTGTTAATCCCCCTAATACCTCAACTAGCTCACAACCAATTAACGTTGAAGACTCCTCATCTACATCTTCCCTTACCACCTTTACCTTAAGCTTCTAGTCCTCGGCTAGCTTAAAACACGTTCAAATAGTATTTTATATCTATAGTTGTAGTCAATTTTTCGTCTTTCAGCATTTGTTCTTGTTTGAGATTGTCGTACTAAGCCGTAAGACTGCGACGTGTCTAAGGTAACATCTCAATAGGACCGATTCATCATAGTAATCTATATTCCTGTTTTGACAAAAGTTGTAATAGTACGTTCTCTGACTTTGGAAATGTCCAGGTTTCATTCAGTGGAAGATGACAAATAACGGCACTAACGGCACCTTGGCAAACTTAATCAAATTTATCTACATCGAACCGTAACGTAGATAAATTTGTCTCCTGTATTCGTTTTCAGTACAACACCTTATCACCATTCTTTCGTCTTTAACTACCGTATTCTGACATGAGAGTGCATTTTTAGACCTTTTCTGCATAGGACCTGCATGCACTCCTTATCCGTTATTCCTCCTGCAATTTTTTTGCCTTTATGTTCATTTACAAATAAATGTAAAACTAAATACGTACTTAGTAATATTGTATGAATTCGATCCTTCATTGATCTTACACAGCCAAGCAACCTTTCTTACCGACTTTCCCCATTTATGCTCTTCTTATCCTATTTTTCGTCTTTCTTTTCTTTTCTTTTCTGCTTGAAACGATTAAAAAGGTCAGTTAACTTAAAAAGCCGTTGTTTATACAATGTCTGTAATCTCTAGTCCTGTTTAGTCCATTCTTGGTTCAAAGGTGACAGTTCTGGGAGTGCAGGTTCGCTGTAGAATGCAGTTCAATAGTAGGAATGACCCGTTAGCGACGATCAGGCGATGAGCCATGAGGGACTCATGTGATCTGGTTTGTTCAGAGTACGGTATATTATTGTGAGATCTGCCTACGTACTTCATGTCTCTCTTAAGCTTGAGTGCTTCCAAGCTTAATCTATTACCCAAACCTGTTGCTGATGATAGTTTCTAGTCAAAGTGTTACTCTGCAGTCTTGTACAAATTTAGCTTATATTATCCAGATATTTTAAGAGTACTATTATTCAGTGATTAAAAAATCAGGGTCATGACTTACTTAACGTTATTTCACGAAGCCTGAGACGTCTAGTTTCAAACACTCATCTCTTGTGTTGGAAGAAAAACAAATCTCAGCGACTCAGTGTCGCTACCAATTGTGCAGTCTCTATTTTCTTTAAATTACTGGTTATATGTAAATATATTTGCATTTACATATATTTGACTGTTTCTCCATCAGCTACACAGTTTCCTCATTAGATAAACTACAGGTATGCTCTTTTTACTGTTAGTAGTATCTGTCAGAACTAAGTGGGAATGGTCGACACATCTGAAGACATCTAGCGACTTCAGTTTCAAACAACAGCGGTTCTGCACCCTACCCTGTTCCACCTTAATCGTCGCGATTTCTATTGCCTGACTGAGGAAGCCCAATAATATATGCCAAGTCTTGTTCGTTTACAAGAAATAACTGAAAAAAATAAAGATTTATAAATATGAAAGCATTTACCTTAACAAAAGAAGACATGGAGTCTTGTCTGCTGCGAACATGTTATCCACGCTCAGCGTGTACATTCCTGTTCGGTTTATTTCCCCATCCATTTCCACTAAATCGTCCGCTGTAGGAATGACTAACGTAAGATAAGTCTTTTAAGTGATAAACAGAACTCGATAGTAAAATCAGTCGCAACATTAGTTGGCGTTTCATGCAGTGAGTTTGAATTCATAATTTATTCAGCTCGCTCGGAGCAATTGCAAGAAGGCCAGGAAGAGTCTTTCGTGTCTCTCCGTTCTCGATGTGTTCACTGACACTTCTGGATTATCGCATGATAGTCAGTAAGTGGGACGGCAGCGAAGTGCGTACCACCAGCAGACTCGCTGATAAGCACCCGCTTTTTTGTCGTAATTTTCGCTGTTCGGTCTTCGAATGGAATGGAACGCGATGGACGGCTTTCTATTGCTGTTGCGAATGCTCTGGGTTACTCAGTCATTTTTTTTTCCGTTTTTCGATGGTTCATTTTCGATTTCAACTGTGCTACTTGGCTTTTCTGTGTTAAAGTTCAGCAGTGGCCGTGTTCATGGATCTTCGTTTCTGATACAAATAATCTTGACCATTAGCCCAGTGAGCTATATGGTGCGTCTCATATGTGCAAATTGTATCCTCTATGATGATCCTGTCGAAAACTCCCAATCAGGTGAACTCACTCGGCCGATCTGAGCGTATAGGGCAGCTCGGATGCACGGCAGCGGCCAATGTAGGCACTGAGGCTTCCCGTTTGAATCAGCCAGATAGTGGATGCTGTAAGTGAATATGCCCTAAAACTGCTCAGAAACCGAGTTTGTGGGGGATTAAAGTGCT